TACGCGAAATGGACCTTCGTATGGTGACGAGAAGGATGGACGAATCTGGTCGTTGCGCACTAGTACGTGGGAGCAAGTATTAAGGTTCCTGAAACAGAAAACAGAATGCTTGCCGTGACGTGACATTTCGCCCGGTGCCAATGAATTAAAATGAAGTTTTAAAGTGTTTACTATCGTATGTGGGGAGGTTTTGTTTGTAGGAGTGAGCAGCTCACCAGGCAATCGAATTGGCTCACCATATACTAATTCAGCCGGCGTCGTCTCGATATCGTCTTTCCAAGCTGCGCGTAAACCGAGTAGGACGGCTGGTAATGCATCGTACCATGATTCGCCGTGACACAGAAGGGCCGATTTCAGCTGGCGATGTAGTCGTTCGACAAGTCCGTTGGCTTGTGGGTGGTATGGGGTTGTATGCAAGTGCTTAATACCATAGAACTTTAATAGCGACTGAAACAGGTCCGACTCGAATTGCGGCCCCTGATCAGATGTTAAACGCTTAGGTATTCCATGGCGCGAAATCCAATGTAGCGATAATGCGTGAGCTACCGTTTCTGCAGTACCATCGGATAATGGAACAGCCTTAGGATATCTGGTGAACCGGTCTATGATGGTAAGGCACTGATTGAAACCTTTAGACCTTTTAAGAGACACCAGGTCAATATGAATATGCTCGAACCGTTCCGTTGGTGGTTCAAAACTAGCGATCGGCGATGACGCATGTCGATGAATTTTATTTTTCTGGCATTCCATGCACGATTTTGCCCATACGCGGCAATCTTTGTTAATAGAGGGCCATGCATATCGCTGCGTGACCAGTTTTTGCGATCCTTTGACTCCGGGATGAGCAAGCGAGTGAAATGAGTCAAAAACTTTTTTCTCAATGGCTCAGGGACGTAAGGACGTACTTTACCGGATGCAGTATCGCAATAGAGTACTGGTCCATTTTCCAGTTGGATCGTTTTGAGGTTTAATGCAGTTTTTTGGCATAGTAACTTCTGTCGGCGACGATGTTGTCAGAGCCTGAAACATGTCGAATGTCCGTGGTAAACTGGCCGATAAAATCGAGACGGCGAAACTGCCACGGCGATGCTCTTTCGGTGCGCTGGTTATATGCGTGCAGAAGCGGTTTATGATCGGTATAGATCGTTACATGCCGACCTTTAAAAATGTGCCGAAAGTACTTTATAGCCTCATAGACGGCGTGTAACTCGCGGTCATACGTCGAAAGTTTCTGAATCGTTGGAGGAATTTTTCGGCTAAAAAATGCTAGTGGTTGCCATTCGTTGTGTACGTATTGTTGCAAAACGGCTCCAATTCCGATTTCGGAGGCATCGGTAAATATTGCCCAGTCAGCGTCGATTTTGGGATGCACCAATAACGCAGCGTTGGACAGAGCACGTTTAGCCGTGTTGAAAGCTTCATGCAATTCATCAGTCCAGGTGACTGGGTGACAGCCTTTCACTTTTGGTCCCTCCAAAACTTTGTTTAGCGGCAACAAAATATCCGCAGCATTTTTTACGAATTTCCTGTAGAAATTTACGGTGCCCAGAAATCTTCGGAGTGCTTTGACCGTAGTTGGAGGCTTAAAACTAGTAATAGCCTCGACCTTTTCGGGCAGCGGCTTAATACCGTTCCTCTTGATAAGATGCCCGAGAAACTGCACTTCTGGTTGTCCAAACTGGCATTTTTGCACATTTATAACGAGACCATACTCGCGTAGGCGTTCAAACAGAATTCGAAGGTGTTTCAAATGTTCGTCTTCGTCCTTTGATGCGATCAGAATATCGTCAACGTATGGAAAAACGAAATCGAGGTCACGAGTGACCTTATCAACGAATCGCTGGAACATTTGAGCAGCATTTTTGAGTCCGAACGTCATGTAGAGGAACTCGAACAGCCCAAAAGGCGTGATGATTGCCGTTTTCGGCACATCTTCGGGGGCCACCGGTAGTTGCAGGAAGGCCTTTTCGAAGTCAATGACCGAAAATAAGTTTTTTCCGTACAAAAATGCGCCAAAGTCGTCAATATATCTCAAGGAATATTTGTCTATCAGCGTACGCTCGTTGAGTGGCCGGTAATCACCACACGGTCTCCATTCTCCGGATTTCTTCCGAACCAGATGGAGTGGTGAAGACCAAGTGCTGTTGGAAGGTCTGCAAATGCCTTGACTGATCATTTTGCTAAATTCTGCTTGTGCTATTTTCAGCTTATCGGGAGCCAGGCGTCTAGCTTTGCACGAAACTGGAGGTCCCGGTGACGTTCGAATGTGATGAACGGTCGAATGCTTCCTTTTACTGGATTTTAGGTTTACTGGCCGTGTAATATCGCCGAACTCTCTCAGTAACGCCAAGTATGCTGTTTTGCTATCTAATGCTTTAATATTTGTTTCTGCCGATGTCGTAAGAGTATTTCCGTGGGTAATTGCGCCCGTGAGACCATCGCGAAGGCGTTTACGTTTTAGGTCGACTAATAAGTCGTAATGGCTTAGAAAGTCAGCACCTATTATCGGCTTAGTGACATCTGCAATTATAAAATTCCAAGTAAAATTACGGCGAAGTCCAAGATTAAGTGTTGTTTCTGCCAAGCCATAGGTTTGTATTATTGAGCCATTCGCCGCGTACAGTTGATAACATAGTGGTTTAGATGTCGATGTAAGACGCCCACGCGGAGCGACGGACAAATCGGTCCCGGAATCGATGAGATATTCCGTACCCGATGTTCTGTCTTTGACAAAGAGGCGGCGAGATATTAGCTGAGAATCGCAGGCCGCTTCTACTGATTCTCGCTGGCGTTTCCTTGCCACTTGCAACCCGGTACGCAAGTGCGAGCGCGCTTTCCGTATTTCCAATGATACCAGCAGAGATCATGTTTCTTCGTTGCTTGTGGGCGTGAGCGACTTCGAGACCTTGGTCGGGAGCGATTGGTCGACATATTTTTTAGTTGTTTCGTAAGCTGCGCGACTTCTCGGCGCAGTGACGCGACTTCGCTGCTTTCCGAAGTAGGTGGTACTATCGCAGCTGCCACTTGGGGCTTGAGCGACAGACGTTCAACCATTCTGTCGGCGGACTCGGCAAGTTTTTCGAGTGTTGCGTCGGCGAAAGCTTCAAGGCACACCTGGATTTCGTTTGGCATATGTGATAGCCAACGCGCTTTAATTATGACGTCGTCTATACCTGGAACCAGTGCTCGTAAATGACGTAGATGCTGCGATGGTGTGCGGTCACCCAGGCGCTCTTTGTCGAGGAGTTGCGAGATTCTTGCCTCTTCCGATTTTGAGAAACATTTAATTAGTGCTGCTTTGAGGTCAGAGTAAGGCGAAACTGCTGGCGGTTCGAGAATAAGTCGCTCAACTTCCGATGCGACGCGAGTATCAAGCAATGGAATTACGAGGTCGAATTTGGTGCGCTCAGTAACTACTTGGTTTGTCGAAAATTGGGCTTCGACTTGTGCAAACCAAAGCTTTGGATTTTGCGTACTGAATTGTGGTGCCTTGGTTTTAGTAGCCATACCGAACTGCTGCTGTGTAAACGAATATCTCGATGATTCTGCTTTTATTGCTTTATGGCCAAATTCCTTAACACTGGTATCGTCGTCTGACATAACCTGATGGTCGCTTCCAAAAGTTGAATAATGACCCGCCAAAGAAAATTACTGGCGAAGCGGTCAGCTCTAACCTCCAGAGTTATGTTACAAAGAGTCCACGTGGTCCAAAGTCGGGGTCACCAATTTAGCGCTTTGGTTGCGCGAAATGGCAATCAATACAAACCGGTTTGTGATGGAACAGATTAAACTTTATTTTGGCAATTTAATAACGCGGAAATTACAATATAACGTTACGTATTAATCAGAAAAATATGTGTATCAATTTACCAGCGAAAACTTAACTTGTCTTGATCATCTGCCAATACAATAGTGAGAGAGCAATACAATCGAAAATCGATAGTGATCGATTCGGCAAAAGACAATTATACCGTGTTTACAGTGGCGAGCGCCACATATATATACATTTATACATTTTTTTATATGAGAATTGAAGTCGGTTTTTTTTTGATAAATATTAC